ACCTCTTACTTCTATGATATGGGCCTTTGGCTAAGGAGGAAAGGTCAATTCTGAATGTTTTGATGATCCCTAAAGAAGCCCTGCTCCCTTACCATCTGCCCTGGTTGGAACAAAGACTTCTTTAATAGGGGCCTCCTCATCACATAGCTATGTTTTGTTTCTTTGAAGTTGCAAAGCCCAAATGCCTCTCTGTGGCATCATACCACTGGTCTCCCATGTGACTGTCAGTTCTGAAATCACATATTATCAGGGTCAGAGACACTTAGATTTGGTTCTTAAGTAGCACCAACTAGTTCTGTGACCTTGAACAATTGACCAAGTTGCTCTGTGTCTGAGCTTTCCATCTGATAAATGAAGGTGATAAGAGCAGTGTTGGAGTATGTAGAAGGTCTCCTTTGGTGTTTAAGTGTTTAACATGGTGTGAAGGAAAGGGTGGGGCTATAGGCCTGGTGACCATAGCAGTATATGTGTCCAGTGATCCAAGCAGACTGAAGGTTGGACTCACTTTGGGCTTGATTGGAGTTGGATCCCTACTTGAGGAGATTCAATTGGATCATGTAAGAAGAACAAAGAAGGCTGCTCTGAGACTGGGGGTCACCCAGCAGAGCCATTGCTCCCAGAAGGTTAGCAGCTAGGGAACAAGACCGAGCCCAGACCCACATAATCTGCTCCAGAGTTCAAGGATCATGATTGTTGGTCCACAAAGTTTCAGCTTTGGGCCAGTATTCATTGAACCCATGATCTGACATGTGACCCCTAAGTTCCCATCTTTCTTATGTGAGTTAACTTTAGTTCTTCCTCTAAAACAAAATGGGGAAAACGAAACAAACAAACAAACAAAAAAAACAAGCTCTTACTCTTAGAGCCTGGTCATTGTGCGGGGAAGGAGAACTGTGCTGCAGTGATGGGGACCGGGCTCCTCTTTGGCTTTCCTAGGGAGCCTTGGAAAACAGTGATGACTGGAGCAGCCATGAACAGGAGCTGCCTGCCCCAGCACAGCTTGGGCATGAGGATTTTGGTATCCACAGAGGTTCCTGGAACCAGTTTCTCTCAATTTCTGAGGGGCAGTTGTATTTTCAAAGGATGATTCTAGTTTCTTGGAGGCCTATGAGGAAACCCCTGCAGGATCCAGACCTGAGCAGGTAGATCAGCAGTAAATGCTGGCATCTGTTACGGAGAGTTGAGGATCTTTCTGGAGGACTTGTCCTTTGTGTGTGTTAGCTGTGCAAGCTTCCTTGCATCAGTTTAGTCACCTGGAGGAAGAATTCAAACAGCACCTCAGTATGACTTCAGCAAGACATAGACATATAGGTGGAGCTGAGGCTGGTCTTACTATGGGGAAAAATAGATGCAGAACATGGGGTGAGGAGTGAACTGTGAGATCAGTGAATGCAGAGATCAGGAAAGGGGAGGTCTGCATGGCTGTCAGTTGAGTATTTCAAGGCTGACTTCATTCACTGGTCCACATGTCACTGGAAGCTGGGTGGACTTTGCAGAAAGCAGGGCTGGGAAAGTCTGTTGGGAACACTGGATGGGGGATAGTGCTAGTCGGCCAACAGGCTCTGTTCTGCTCTGATTCTCAGCTGATGCCCCTGTTTAGGGCTACACCATAAACCTGGGCCAGGCTGGGTTCTTTCTTGGCTCTTTGAAGTAGATGATTTCCACAAGTGTGCCTGGGAGGAGAGCCAGAAGCACCACCGGCTGGGACTGCCTATCCTTGCAGCCTGGTAAGGTTCTTACAAGGGCCTGTTCTGCACCTGCATGCCAGGTCCTTCTCCATGTTGCTGGGATACACCCCTGAACAGCACAGACAGCCTATCTGATCTAGGTTCAGTGCAATAAAGTAAATCAGGCAAAAGGAGATTTCCAAGTGATGGACAGGGAGCTGTTCTACATATGATGGTAAAGGTAGCATCTCTGAAGAGGTGAAATTTGAGGAGACCTGCCTGAAAGAAATGAGGAAGAAGCCAGGAATGGATATGGACAAAGAACATTCTAGGCAGAGGGAACAGTTTCAAGGCTCTGAGCAGGGAGTGAGTTCAGGAAACAGCCAGGATGCCAGGGTGGTGGGGAGCAGGGCTGCAGTGGGGGTGATGGGCAGGAGGAATGTGTTGCTGGGATGTGGGCTGAAGCCTGGGGCACAGCCCTGTGTAGGTCGTGGCAGAGTTTGAATTTTATTCCAGGTCTGAAGGGAAGTCATTGGAGAGTTTCAAGGTGGGGAGCCATGTAATCTTAAAGTTGTCCTTTGGTATCTGCCAGCTCTACATCTGTGAAAGCCAATCTTGGATAAAAGCTTTTTTTTTTTTTTTTTTTTAAATCTGTGTCGATACTGAACATGTAAACATTTTTTTTTGTAGTATTTCCTAAACATTATAACAGCTATTTATACAGAATTTATGTTGTATTAGGCATTATAAGTAATCTGAGATGATTTGAAGTATATGGGAGGATGTGCACAGGTTATTTGCAAATACTGCACCATTTTATATGGGAGGCCTGGGCATGATCATTTTGGTATCCACAGAGGTTCCTGGAACCAGTTTCTCTCAATTTCTGAGGGGCAGTTGTATTTTTCAAAGGGTCATTCTAGTTGCTTGGAGGCCTGGGAGGAAACCCCTGCAGGATCCAGACAACAGACAGGTGGGAGCACAGAGGAAAACTGGTCGGATGTATTATGTGTTTTGAAGGTAAAACCAGCAGAGGGTCAATAGTGAGTTGAATACTGGGCAAGGGAGAAAGAAGCATTAAGCACGAAGTCAAGGTTTTCTCTTAAACAGAGGAACAGACAGTGGTACCCTTTAAGGAGAAGGTGAGGAGTTGGGGAGGAGCAGAGCAGGGCTGGGGAGATCCAGGAGACATTGAGGACGTTTTTTCGATTGGAATCTTATCAGATCTTTCAGGTGGACAAGTCAAGGAGACCCTGAGCTGCGTGACTTAGAGAAGTGGCTATTCTGGTCTGTATTGGTGAGTTGGCAGTGTGTTGGACAGCATTTAGTGTTGTGGCAATCATGAGATCACCTAGCAAACTCAAGGCAGGGCAAAGGACCTAGAACTGAGCTGTGAGCTTCTCTACTGCTTGGTGTGGAGTCAGTGAGGGAGACAACCCTTTGCCTTGGTATTCCTGAAGCTACGTATGCAGGGAAATAGTTGCAGGAGAAATGACTGACTTGATCTCACCTTCCATAAGGTCAGATAAGGTGGGATTAAAGACTAGCTCCAGCTTTGGCAAGAGGTAAGTATGTATTGAGAACCTTGAGGAGTTGTAGGATTACCAGTCACTTGGGGGTTTACTTCTCATAGCATTTTGAAACTCCTGGGAAGTGGAGGAAATGATCATGCACTCATCAAGAAAAACAAAGATATCAATTAGGAAATTGGTGTGAGGTGGAGTGGGGTGGTGTGGTAGAAAGGAGCAAGGATGAGCCCACAGGAGCATAAGCACCAGCAGCCCGCTGGCCTGCTGGTGGAGTGCAGCACCTAGGATGTACTCGATGAATATTTGAACCAGTGAGTGAGGAACAAATGAATGAATGAACTGAGCTTGGGATGGGGTCCTTCTCCTCACTACCTGCCATTTTGGTTTTGAACTCTCTGGACCCCAGTATTCTGCTTTATAAAATGCAGGGGTTGGGGTTTACAGAACACTGTGGGAACCAACCACTAGAAGCTGTGAACCACCCTCTAATATTCTTTGCAGAATATTGGGAGTGTGTGCATTTTCTAAAAAATGATCTATGATCTGGAAGAGGCTGAGACCTCCTGGGGCTTTCATTAAAGGGCCTGCCTTCCCTTTCCAGCCACCTGGGTCTAGTATTGAATAAAACGGCAGAAATAGCTTGAAGCTTGAGAATAAACTTTGGAAAGATGAGAGTCATAGAGAAATCTAGCCCTGTTATTTATTGTGAGATACTAATAAATGGCAGTGCAATGCCGGTGTGGTATAAAGTAGTTAATAGAAAAAACAGGAGGCAGCTTCATTTGCACAGATCATGATGTATTTTCCTTTTATATGGCAGATTCTCCCTGGTTCAGAAACCTGTGTGGTGCATTTGGGTGGGCTCCATTCTCTTGGCCCAGAGAGCAGCTTAGCCCTAGTGGGTTCCTGCAGGTGGGAGACTGGGGTGCTTTTCTTCTGAGTGAGGTCATTGCTTAATGCAGGCTTATTTTAATTCATTAGCTAGTAACCCAGCACCTCCTGAGCACATGTGTACTTTGTGCTACATGTAAGTACCCTGGGGAGGGGGCTCAACTCTGGCCAGCAGCTGGCCTGGGTAGCTTATGGCTGAGTTTGAATACAGTGCTGGAGGCCTGAGGTGGGGAGCGTACTTGGTGCTGGGCTTTGCTCTCCATGCCCCCATCTACACTGGAAACCTCTAATGCTCCTGGGGCACAAAGTCCTCTTACACACTGAGAGTGCCCTGAAATGAACTTGGGTGGGGGTAGGTGTGGCAGAATATAGAAGGAACAGGGTAGAGCTTGACTGCACAGTCTCTGTACGACCTAGTCTGCCCTGAGGCCTTTATCTCTTCTCTGGGTTGTGGGGCCATCTGGTGTTGGAAGAGTTTGTCATACATTCAGGAGTACAAGCCAGTTATCTGCAGAGCCTCCTTGTCCTTTTCCTGGGGTAGAGGCCCCTGTCATCTGCAGGGTTAAGGATTTTTTTTTTTTCTACTGGAGATTGAACCACTCAGGGGCATTTTACCACTGAGCTATATCCCCAGCACTGTTTATTTTTTAATTTGAGATAGGGTCTCTTTAAACTGGTTAGGGCCTTGCTGAATTGCAGAAGCTGGCCTTGAACTTGCGATTCTTCTGCTTCAGCCTCCAGAGCTGTTAGGGTTATAGGTGTGTGCCACCACGCCCAGAAGGGCCTAGGATCTTGGTTGGGAGCCAGGAGCATCCTGACTAGCATGTGGTCTTTGCTGTGAGAAGCATGTTTATGGTGCTGGCTTCTGATCTAACATTTCTTCTCTCTCTCTCTCCCCACTGTTCCTGCTCAGTTGGCTGGAGTTGTCTTCCTTGGAGTTGGACTCTGGGCATGGAGTGAAAAGGTAGGTAGAACCCTGAGTACCAGGAGACCAAAACTAGATTCATTCTGCTTGAATTATCCCCTCCTCCTGTCTGTTTCTTGACAAGGAACATTTCCTGTGCAAAGTAAAGATCCACAGAACCCTCCTGAGGCTGGCTCTGCCTTGGGCAGTGCAGGGAGGGGTAGTCAGTGCTGGAACAGTTAGGTTTTGGGTTTTTTCTGAGCTTTGTGAATGTGGAGAAATTTCTGTTTGCAGCAGCCCGGAGTGGCCCTGGGCTTGCCTGCAGCTATGCCCAGAGTGGGCCTTGGGTTTGCCTGCCTGACCCTGTATGCTTCTAGGGCAAGTGAGCAAGTCCCAAACACAGTTGTGTTTATTCCTGGAGCTCTTGTCCTAGCCTACAGAAGTCTTGAGAACAGGAGCAGGGCTTGGTTGCGTGCCCTCAGGCACCCTGTGTGGTGGGAGCAGGCCTTTAGGTATCTTTGGACCTCTTTGCCAAGCCTGTGAGAGAGGTGAGAAAAAGAGACCAGTATGTAACGGTCTGCAAGGATAAAGAGCAGGTGGAGCTGTGGTGTTGTCTTTGTCCATGGCAGTTTGGTGCTGGGGAGGTGAAGAGGGCGGAAATCCCTGCCAGGGCACCAAGGGAGGTAGAGAGAGAAGCTAGGTGAAAGAGCCCTCTGTTCCTTCAGTGGAAACTGCCTTTGTTTCCTGGAGGAGACAGGAGCACTTAGGTTTATGGGATTTCCTGCCTTAGCCTTAGGAACTGGATGAGTCCTGCCCTTGGGTTTGGATACCTTCAGGGTAGCCTGTGAACCCTAACAGGGCAAGAACTACAGTGCAGTGTCCCTTTGCCCCACTGACCTGGAAGCCAGTGCAACCTGTGACTTGTAGTGCCACTGTGTGGCCACCTCTGGGACTGCAGCAGTTTGCTTAGCTAGCTGTCTGCACTAGGCCGAGCACCTGGTCTGGCTGTCCTCTTCTTCATTCTCCTTTGAGTCTCACAGAATTACTGTGTCATTGTGGGTCACACTAGCCACATATGACTATGTGTTTCTATTTAATTGAAATTAAACACAAATGAAAATTCTTAAGTGTCCCTAGCCACATTCCAAGCACCCAGAAACGGTTGTTACCAATTTGGACAGTGCAGGTACACAGCACCTTCACTATCTCAGGTAATTCTGTAGGCAGCACTGCCACACCTCTTCCCTTGCTAGGTGTATTTTCCACAGAATGTTCATTCTGAGGCTGCTTTGGACAGTCAACCACAGCATTTTGCTTTCCAGTGGACCCATCAGAGATACCCAATAGACCATAAAGGAAGTCTTGGGTCTGCCTCCCAGGAACTGAGCTTCAGTGGAGACCAGGAGGTTGTGACCCTCCTGTGAGGGTCTCAGGACTGAGGTGGTCAAGAAGCTGTTCGCCTGATGTGCCTCTCAGCGGGTAGTCAGGGCCATATTCTGCCTGGCTTTTAATGATAGGATTGAGCCCTGAGAGGCAGGTCTCTGGACAGCCCAGCTAGAGTCCCCTTGAGTCCCCTTCAAGACTGATGCTACCCTTCTTTCTCTGCCTTTTTCAGGGTGTACTGTCTGACCTCACCAAAGTGACTCGGCTACATGGAATAGACCCCGTGGTGCTGGTCCTGATGGTGGGCGTGGTGATGTTCACACTGGGGTTCGCTGGCTGTGTGGGGGCCCTACGGGAGAACATCTGCCTGCTCAAGTTTGTGAGTGGCCCCAGAGATGGGGGTGGGATGTAACAGAGGTACGGGTAATGGGGGGTAGGGGTACTGGCTCAGCTAGGACGGCCTATATGTTACCTGGTGTGAGTCACTTTGTACCCTACTGCCTCATTGAGTGGTAAGATTTTAGGGAAAAAAAAAAATCCAGATGAGCTGGTTCCTTTCCCCGGGAGAAGTGGAGCTCCTCTGGTTTTCAGCTCCTGGTGGGAGGAAGTGCTTAGAAGCAGCTCCACTCCCCCTCTTTGTTTTATCTCCTCTCAGAAGTTCTGGAGGAATTGTTTGTTTGCTTCTCACCTTTGCCCTTCCTGGCTAAGATCAAAAGATGTTGTCAGTAACATTAAGAAATCATTTCCCTCCTCCAGGGTTGTGAATCTGTTGGATGTGCAATGTAGAATCTTTAATTTCCTGGTAGAACTGCGAGTTACTAAGAGTTTAGTTTTATATTTAGATACAAATTCATTTTTAAATGCATTCAGTTAAAATTAAATAGCACCTGGTGGGGAAAACACATTAAGGTTTTTTACAATATATTATTTGTTGAGTTTATTAGGTCAAGCTTTCTCTTTCCTGGGCTTAATTTAAAAAGCAAAGCACACATTTTTTTTCTATTTTTTCCCTCTTAAAAATACTATGTTTAGTATCTTGCTTCCATGGGAACAGGGAGTACATTTGGAGGGCCTGTGTATATGCATGTTCCTATGCCTACATGCTGGTACTTCTCCATCTTGCTTTGAAAGGCTCCTCCAAATTTGTCAGTGGTGTTAAAGCTGTTTAGTGGTCTTTGTGTCTGTGAGAACACAGGCTTTACACACTGAAAGTCTCTGGTGACAGAGGTGGATATGAACCTATGGCTGCAGAGGGGCCTTGTAGAATGCCACCACTATTTGTGGCCTGTCACAGACATATCTCAGGAAAGGTCTGTATGTGACTATCATGCTCACATACAGAGTGGGTACTGATAACATTGGTGCCTCCAGAGTGGTAAGACTGCCAGGGAACTAGATGTCCTGTGTGAGTTACGTGACTGCAGACAAGCTATGTACCTGAGTGAGCCTCACTTTCTTCATCCTTAAGGTTGGGGTGATAAATCCGATTTCTAGAAATTTGGATGATTGTGTATGTGTGGAGAGTGGTCAGGTAATGTCTGGGCCCAGACTTTGTCCCAGAGGAGCTGACAACCTTGTGGGTAGGACAGCCATTCACTCCCTATTACGGTTTCCTTCTTTTGAGGGAGGAGGGCTGCTTCATAACAGTGACTGGCACGTTGGCCTGGAGCCCTCTCATCTTTTTTCACTCATTCACTGTTAGCAGTGTTGCAGTGGATGACGTGGTTAGTGATCAACCATCCCCCTTTACGGGTGAGATGAAGCCCCCTGCTACTAACGCAGGATTCCCAAGCTGACCTGGGGTCTGTGACAGCTCATGTTCTGCAGCAGGTAGTGGTTTTGGGTCAAATGGGTGTATAGGACCAGCCTGGTAGATGTGGTAACTCCTGCACTGCCCTTGTCTCCGTGCAGTTCTGTGGTGCCATCGTGCTCATCTTCTTCCTGGAGCTGGCTGTGGCTGTGCTGGCCTTCTTGTTCCAGGACTGGGTAAGGGATCGGTTCCGGGAGTTCTTTGAGAGCAACATCAGATCCTACCGGGACGACATCGACCTGCAGAACCTCATCGACTCCCTTCAGAAAGCTGTAAGCACTATCTCCTGGTGGGTTCCGTGGTAGCACCTGCACTTTCCTGCCTTAAGTCAAGTGTGTGCAGCTCGACAGTCAAGGCTAGGGGACACAAACCTTCTCTCCTTGCTATGTTTCTCCCTGCAGCGTGGCAGGCAGTAGGGAGGTTGTGGAGTGTGTACTGCCTCTGGTCAGTTTGTCTCTGCTGTTCATGTGGCCCGGCCAGGCTCTCTCTTCCTGTGCCTCCCCACCCACTATTTGTATTGGGCAGGCAATTCCAACTGTACCAAGGCCACCCACTTCTAGAATCTCAGCCCTCACTACCCTCCCCCTTTGTGGCTAAGGTCTCCCCAGCCTTGCCCAACAGCCACGCTGGCAGCCAGTTGTCCCTGGGACCTTGAGCCCTGTGGGTATTGGGGGCAGGGGAGGCAGAGCTCCTACTCCCTAAGCTCATGACTCACCACTTAAAGCTATTCCTGTCCCCTTCCTCTCTGGGACCTTTTCCCCTTCCTGTTTGAGAAGGGCAGAGCTGCCTAGAGGAAGCTTCCTCAGATGGAGGGGAATGTGACCTTTCTGGAGTATGTCCCCTGGGGTTTATCTAAGCAGTCCCATAAGTCCATCTGTCCCTGTCCCCCTGGTGTACAGCTGCACCTGGAGGATTGGGCTCCAGCTGCTCCAGGCCCCCTGGGAGAAACCCCCTCCCTAGCCATGTTATCTTCTGTTTGATCTGTGCTCTGTCCGAAAGCCCACCTTCCTCAGGAAATTTTTATATGGAACACTTTAGTTCTGAGAAGAAAATAAACTCTAGAGAGCACTAAAAATAACTATGACCCACTCTTATTAACCAAAACTTGTTTACCCTTATTTCATGTATCATGGAATTTAGCCAAACCCATTTATGTGACCAAAGAGTCTACTTGAATTGTTGTCATTGACCTGTATGGTCTGTGAAAGCCACCAAATCCCTGCCATTACCCCATGCCCTTCACTGTTCTTTTTTCTGTTTGGTGCCACAGTCACATTCTGTGTTCACATGGTCTTGGGTTTGCTGGCTCCAGCATTACCTAAAACACATCATCTTTTCTCTGCTGCCTCCTTCTCTTTAAAAAAAAACAAAAGTTTTCCAGAGGGATTCAGTAGGTTATGGAGCTTTCTTGGGGTGAAATATTAGTTAATTATTAAATCATTAAGCAGCTGGCACAGTGGACAGGTGGGGATGGGAAAGACAGTATTTTACCTTAAAAGCAGGAAAACAAGTGGAAATCCCCATTGTCATTTGTTATGATTATGCCATAACCAAGTCGGCTTCAAGGGCAGGTGTGGAAATGCGATCTGCTCTCGTGTGGGGACACCGTTCACACCGAGGCAGTGCTTTCAGCATGTTGGGTTTTAAAGTTGTTAGACTAATGAGGATTCTTCTTTGCAGCTGTACCAGACAGTGGGGAGGGCAGAGGCCCTGGATGGGGCAGAGTTTCCTGTGTTGCCATTCACTCCAGTTGTAACTGTTGCTTTGGGAGTAGATATTCAGTGATTTTATTTTATTTATATATATATATATATATATATATTTTATTTGTTTGATTTTGATAAAGAAACAAAAAAGGCAACTAAAGCCAGAGTAGCACTATTCCCTATGCTGAGGCCAGGTGGTGCCCCTGAGTCAGTCTGTGTTTGACAGAGATGTTGGGGCTGCTCTTGCCTTGATGGTAGTGGTGGCGGTGGCACTGGGGATTGAACCCAAGGGTGCTTTACCATTGAATTATGTCTCCATCTCTTTTAATTTTTTTTTCATTTTTGAGATTAAATTGCTCAGGCTGGCCTCAATCTTGCAATCCCCCTGCCTCAGCCTCCACTCACAGGAATTACAGGCATGTGCCATTGCACCCAGCTGCTGTTTCATTTTTAGAGGATTTCCTGGGTGGTATTGCTCAGCATCTCTGTATGTGTGGGAGATAGCAGGGTGGGCCTCAGTTTCTCTGTCTGATAGAAGGAACCATACTTATCCTGCCACATTAAGACTGACTCTGGGAGCATCTGATGATTCTTGGCTTTTGTGATTGTAGAACCAGTGCTGTGGAGCCTATGGCCCTGAAGACTGGGACCTTAACGTCTATTTCAACTGCAGTGGTGCCAGCTATAGTCGCGAGAAGTGTGGGGTTCCCTTCTCCTGCTGTGTGCCGGATCCTGCGGTGAGTTGACTTGCTCCTGGGCATGGCGTATGTTCCTCATATAGCCAGTAGTTTCTGGGAGTCTGTGCATGCCCTGAGCTGTTATTCTGCTGCACACTAGAGGAGCTAGGTGCATGCCCTTCACATCTGCCCCAAGGCCTTGCACCTCTGCAATCCTGTTTACATACATTCTGGGATTATTCTCTCATGGCCCACCCTGGCACTGATGTACTGGGTAAAGCAGGAGGAAGCAATATTCACCGTCCCTTGAGGGGCTTTCACTTGGGGTGCCTGGACAAGATGCTGTGATGGTCATGAGCCCTTGACTGGCATCTTTATACCCTTTCTCAGGAGAAAAAAAAAAAAAACAGTTTTCAGAAGGTTACAGGAGCTTTGGGGAGCACATCACTGACAGGGTAACAGCATCTCTGGGTGGAGAATTATTTTCTGTGGATTCTCCACTGTTTATTTTATTCTCAGTCTAAACCAGGTAATTGGGTTCAGAAACTGGGCTCATGGGATGACCTGTGAAGGAGCACTGAATTTTGTCTGAGCTGAACCTGTGCAGAACTGACCCTGTGCTAACTCTTAGTGCAGTTATGTAATGCCTGTTCTGGGTCATAGGGCTCCCAGCAGGCCGGCCATCACTTCTACTACATGAGCAGGTTCTCCAGCCCAGGAGAGGCTCAGATTTGCTGAGGTTGCACAGCTGATATCTGAGGACTCTGAGGGTTACTATGAAATATACTAATGTAGTAAATGTTGCATTTATCTAGTATAACTTTTGCTTCCTAGCACAAAGATTGGCAAATTGTGACCCAGGACCCAAATCTGGCTTGCTTTTTTATATGACCTGGGAGCCAAGAATGCTTTTAATTATTATTAAATGGTTGTTCATCTTCCCAGCACTATAACAAAATACCTGAGAAAATAACTTCCAAAGACGGAAGGTTTATGGGGCTGGGCTTAGCTCAATGGCAGAGCTCATGTTTAGTATGTGGGTTCAGTCTCCAGCAAAGCCACTTACCGCCCCAATCCCCCGCCAAAAAAAAAGAAGAAAGAAAAAGAAAAAGGTTTATTTTGGCTCATGATTTTAGAGATTCCAGCCCATGATCAGACAGACCTATTACTTTCAGGCCTGACCGGCAATGGCAGGGAATGTATGTGGAAACAAACTGGTCACTTCGTGGCCAAGAAGCATAAGAGGAAGGGGCCAAGTTCCCACAATCCCCTTCAAGGTCATATACCCTGTGACCTAAGGGCCTCCCATTAGGCCTCACCTCTTAAAGTTTTCATCTCCCACTAGCTCCACCCTGAGGACCAAACCTTTAACATAGGGAACTTGTGGGGGGGGGCATTGAATATCCAAGCTATAGCATGGTTGAAAAGAAAGGTAACATTTTGTGACATGTGGAAATTGTACAAAATTCAAATTCCAGGGTCCATCCTGAAATGCAGCCAGGCCTGTTTGTTTACATGTTGTCAGTGCCTGCTCTCTTGCTACTAAAGCAGAATTCTGTACTGTTCTGGAGACTGCATCTGAAATATTTAACAGAAACAGTTTACTGACCCCTGTCCTATCCTGGTTGGAGGATGTGGTCTATAGTGGAATTTGCAAAGGTGTTTTCTGGTGTTGGGTTATAGCTTTTCTTGAACGTTTTACCACTGACTTCTCAAGAGGATAAAAGTGACTGATTTTTCTGATTATCTTACAGCAAAAAGTTGTGAACACACAGTGTGGATACGATGTCAGGATTCAGGTGAGAACCCCAACATGCAGAACTTCAAGAGCTCCTTAGGGTGACAGTTTTTCAGGCTGTATTCCCTATAGTTTAACATGCTGCTTTAGCAAAAGTGAAAATTGGAGTGGGAAAAGCAAGGGGAGATTAAGCTGAAAAGGTGACATCTAAATGGAGACAAGGCTGAGCAGGGGTTGGTGCCCCACACACTCCCTCCTGAGCTGGAGGCAGGATCCTTGGGAACAGTGACAGGTGGAGAGTTCAAACCCTGTGACTACAGTCACAAAACAGAATCATTGCTGCATTAAAGAGTGGGATGGACATTTTGGGGAACAAAGTCTGTATTTTTAAGAGGCTCCTTGGAGCTATACAAGGTGTCTATTATAAAGGGGTTCTGGAGGAAGCTGTAGGAGTGTGTGGCTTGGTGCAGCTTCCTCAGGGAGACAGTGGCAGCAGGAAGGAGACTGGCCTGGGGCAGGGGTGGGACTCATGATTACAGAATTTTCTTAAAGCCGCAGGGAGTAAGTTCTTACAAGTGAAGAGGAACAAGACCACCCTGAAGATATAGGCAGAACCGTCCACCCTGACTCCAGTTCTTGCTTTGGTGACTTTTGGTGATAGGAATGACTACTGTCCTGAAAGGAAGGGGTCTCAGGAATCTGCAGGGGCAACTCCTGGGCATTAGAGATGTGTTCTGTGGCTTGGAAAACTTGGCATCCTTCAGTGATCGCCATTTCTCAGGGATGGGCTGCATGAGCTGAATGTTTGTTTTTCCCCAGAATTCATAGACTGAGTCCTCATCCCCTGAGTCATGGATTTTTGAAGATGGGGCAGGGTGTTTGGGAGGGCATTAGGCCATGAGGTCAGGGACCTGAGGAGTGGGATTAGTATCCTTATAGAAGTGGTCCCAGAGGGCTTTTTCACCTCTTCTGCTGTGCAAGAAGACACCATCCATGGACCAGAAAGGAGCCCTCAGCACACACTGAATCTATCTGTCTCCTTAGCTTGTAGATGTCGTCTTCTTCCTGAGTCTCTTCACGCCTCTACATGTCTCTGTACTAATCTTCTCTTGTAAGGACACCAGTTATTCTGGATTAGGGCCCACTTTAGTGACCTCATTTTAATTAAATTACCTCCGTAAAGGCACTCTCTTCAAATACAGTCATTCTGAGGTGCTGGAGGTTAAGGCTCTAATTTATGAATGCGGGGCACAGTTCAGACCCTAAGGCCTCTAAAATGAATTGTCTTCCATTATTATTGCCAAGAAGGAAGTTGATTGGGGAAGGGAACTGAAGCTGATTGCCATTTGTGAGGTTAATAAGGGTGTGTGTGTGTGCTGGGACAGGTCCTGGAGCTCTTACTGATGCTCCATTGAGGGTTGACATTGGAGGGTACTGGTTGGCTAAGGACCATTGCCTGCTGGCTCTGTCTCCTGGAGCTAGGCTTTCCTGTGGGAGACAATTGAGAAGCCACTGTCCCTTCCTTCTGCCTATCCTTTGAGAATGCCCCACACCTCATCTCCTAGTTTCTCCCTTTAAAGGTACATCTTCCTCCAGGGCTTCAGGCCCCCTCCTGTGTCTCCAGATGTGGGCATTGGAGGTGTGCTGAGTAAGTTGAATTGAATCTCTAGTAGCCCAAACAGAAATGGGATTACAGACCAGGCCAGCTGGCCTTTGGTAAACAGGTGATAGGGATAGAGATCAAAACCAAGGGATATGTTTTTCCTGGAGAGTTCTGCCTGTCCTTCCCATGTGCTTCATCTTGTTCTGTGCTGGAGCTGAGCTTTTGGGGACCAGGATGGGAACTCTGTGCCACAGGCTCAGGCCTCTGGGGTGCTTCCCTGCAGCTGAAGAGCAAGTGGGACGAGTTCATCTTCACCAAAGGCTGCATCCAGGCGCTGGAGGGCTGGCTTCCGAGGAACATTTACATCGTGGCTGGTGTTTTTATCGCCATCTCTCTGCTACAGGTACGTTCCAGGGTCCTGCAGATGAGTGGGGGTTTTTTCATTTGAGGAAGTTAATGGGAGCCATTAACAGAGAATGCTTGTCCAGCTTGTGTATGGTGTGAAGGAACCTGACAGAAGAAATTAGATGTTTAAAGCTGAGTGTGTGGGGCGGGGAGGGAGAGGGAGAGAGTGAGAGAGAGAGAGAGGGAGAGAGAGTGAGAGAGAGAGAGAGTGAGAGAGAGAGAGAGAGTGTGTGTGTGTGTGTAATGTATATGTGTGTTGTGTGGGCTAGACCCAGGACAGACTGATTCCTGTCTCCCTGTGGTCTACTACCTAAAGGAAGCCTCTCTGTCGTGACAGTGTAAGAGGTACTGTACAGAATGGCAGTGGAGTGAGACCCTAGTAGACTGTATAAGGGTATCTGGTTGGGACTGGAGTCACCTGCTTTGAGAGTCTTCCCTGCTGCTAGTGGATGCACATGGCAGGATTTAAGATGTCAGAGCTGCTTAATGGAAGGTGATATTGTTGATCACCTGGGGCTTGAAGGAGGACTGAGGCTCAGGTCAATGTAGTCACCTAAGGATCTCTTCCTCCCTGTCCCTAGCACCTGGGCACCCAGGCCTCTTCCTGTTAACATGAGCCCCTCTTGGCTCCTGCCCTTTGCTGATGTTTGTTCACCTGAACAGTTGGAAGGATGTTGGTGGTGAGGGGGCAACAGGGCCTGGGGTGAGTGGACCCGCCAGTATCTCCTAGAAGGGAAGTCAGTAATTGAGTGGTCTCAGAGGAATGAACATTTCTAGTGCTGCACAGAGCTCGTGAGGAGATGCTGGCAGTCTCTGAGCAGCTTCTGGGAGAGTGGGTGGTGTGCATGTGAACACAACCAACCCTGCCTTGAAGAGGATGACTGCGGTGGGTCCAGCTACTTGCACGCACCTTTCTCCTTCACTCAGCAGTGTGTACTTAGTGACTGCAGAGGAAGACAGAGAAGCATGTAGACAAGGAAAGAAATAGCCTTGCAAAGCAGGCAGGGGAGTCAATTACGAACCACAGGCAGAACTTAAAAGGGGAAATAAAAATCAAGAGCACTCCTGAAGGTTACCAAGTTCACTTTGGTCTGTTCATGTAGGAAAACTTCAGCCGAGCCTCATGATTGCCCAGTTCTCCAAGGACAGGATGTGTTGACATCAGCACAGCCAGCGTCATTAATTACCTTGGTTTTATGATGGAATCCAGGTTTATAGGAAACATTTGAGATTTGTTATTTTGGGGATCAACATGATAGAATGGTCTTGTTAATTTGGTTTCCATCTGGGTACACGTGTCCTGCCTATGGGATGTGCTGTGCTCACTTGTGTTAGAGGCAGGACCAAGTGTCTTTTTTTAGTCCATGGTTCCTGCTTGTTCTTGCCTCTTCTGGGCTCAAGAGACACAGCAGACTGCACTTTCTACCTGTGGGTCAGTTGTACTTTGCCCCTTGCCTGAGCATTTTTCTCAGTGTGTCCCTACCCTGGCAGAATGGACCAAGGGAGCAGTGTGCAGTGGGGTGTCCACTGGTCTGCTCTCTGCTCCCCGCCCTCCTCCTCTGGTTGCTAATGCTAAAGGCCATTGACTGCTGGCTTTGGTTTCAGATATTTGGCATCTTCTTGGCAAGGACCCTGATCTCAGACATCGAGGCGGTGAAGGCCGGCCATTACTTCTGAGGAGCAGAGGCGAGCAAGTGCAGCTGAGCCACATTGTGGAGGCCAGAACCCTTCACTGTCATCAACCTTATATCCAGTGGGAGAGAAGCTGGCACAACCACCCGGAGCCAGCGCCCTTTCTTCAGCATCAGTGTGATATGAACTCTATTTCTCCTTGCTGGTGCTGAAGGCCCAGGGCTCCTTTTTACCTGCAAGACTTGAGCCTGCATCCCTGCTGGGACTTCCTAGAGGCAGAAGTGTCTCTACATGGGGCAGTGGCCCCGAGGGACAGACTGGGCTTCTGTGGCTGTAAGGAGTGCCTGTCTTGGCCCTCTTGGAGACCGAGAGCCTCTGCAGACACCTGCTCCTCACTGCAGGCTTTGGGTCATGGGCGCTAGCCTGATGGACAGCCACATCTTAGGGTGGGACATGGGTAAAGGGACAGCAGGTGAGCACAGAGCTTCTCTTTCCACCAAGTCCAGCAGTGCAGTGGCCTGCTCCTAGCTGGGGAAGGGGAGGGGCTCAAGTGGATCTGTGTATGCTAGTGGAATCGTGGTGGGTTAGGATCATTTGCAGGACCCTCAGCCATGTCCAAGTGAAGTAAGCCTGAGCCAGGGCATGACTGGTGCCACGAAATGCCTCGGCGACTACCCGCCAAGCCCCACTGCCATTTTCCAGGACAGGAACTGCCTCTGGTTTCAACAGCATTAAGCCCTGGTTGCTGGGGAAGCGGGGGTGGCCTGTTCCCCACTGAGAGCCGGCTCTCGTTTTCTTAAAGTGTGTAAATAGTTTATTTATAGGGGTAAGAATGTTTTCACACCATGTCTTCATTTCCTTTTCCTTTCCTCCGGCATTCTCCTCTCAGCAGCCTTACACAGTGTCTGGAACTAAAAGCTGTCCCTTTCAGTTCCCCTGAGTGTCTCCAGAACCAACCACAGCAGCCTGTCCTTTCCATCTACTGTGTTCCTGCATTCCCCTTCCTCCATACACTGCCCCCGAGACACACCCCACCTCCCAGCTTGGCCTCACTGTCTTCCAGTCTTGGTGCTACTAAAGCTGTCACCCGAACTTGAATCCCGCCCCTCCTTCCCCATGGCCTGCCCAGGGTACCCCAGCCCCCCACATAGGCAGCCAAAAACCTTTTGGGCAGAACTTCTGGTCGAAGCTATACGCCAAAGGCTGGCTGGCCTGACATCTGTCCCTGGAGAGAGCTGCTGTCCTGCAGCCAGGCCTTTGCTGAGCTGTGCACCCCAGGCCACAGCTGCTTAGAATCTTGGGACATTTTATTTCTCACTTTCGTGGTCATTCCCCACCAGGATATGTGTGGTCACTGTGCCCATCCTTCCTGTTGGGGCTCTTCTGGAGCTTGCTCTTGGCAGTGAAGTTTATTGTATGTGCTGAAAAACCCTTGGAGTAGTTGGGGCATTGTCCATCTTTAGCTGGGCTACTTCTAATGCTTCTCTGTAGCTTGTACCAGTTCTGTCCTTACTGTTCAGGGATCGAGAGCTACCTTCATTCACTTGCAGAAGTGTACATTCTAGTGTGGTGTATACTGGTTATGCTGGTGGGTGTTTGTTGTTGATGATGATGATGATGATATTTTTGTTTTGTTTTGTTTTTTACCATTCTCTGTAGACTAGAGGAAGAATGCTTGTGTTTTTAGAAAGTGTGTTGCTTCTCTTTGACTGCCAAACTCTTTTATGGAATATATCTTTATATTAATGCTGCTGTTTTGGTTGTTTTTATTTGGGGTCACTACCAAAATGGTTTTAAATACACAGTATAAATTTGGCTGCAGGGGGAACGAGCAGGATCAAGTGTAACTAGAGGTATAGTAGTGCAGATTGGCACGTTCCAACATGGATTTCAGTTATCCTTCAAACAAGGCTACGACTAGAACTGGTTGACTTGTGGTGTAGCCACGCCTGTGTGTAGGCAGGAGCAGAAGAACTTTAACCCTCAGGCCCATAGGAAACATTACTTTAGGTGATTCCTTTCCAAACCCTGACAATACTGTTTACCCAAGCAAAAAAAGCTTGGGGACTATGGGTTAGTATCTGGGCATTGCTGCTACGTGAACCATGTATCCTGGACTTGTTGGCCTCTGTGTCATTGGGGGAGGTGGGAGCGTGTCAGGGGCTGTGTCTACCTCAGGGAGCCTTCCACCAAACCTCCCTGCCAGTGTGTTGGTGGCCATAGACCCTGCTTGCCAGAGTGTTGGTTCCAAAGGCTTCAGACAGCTCCTGCGGTCCCATCTATTCATGTAGTCCTATTGCCTGGACCCCTTGGAATCCTCCTAGGTACCACACTCCAATTCAGGAGGAATTCTAGCCATGACTTCCAGAATTTTGTTTCTCAATTAGTTCATAAAATGTTCAGGCCATCTCGTTTAACTCTTGAGTCGTTGGTTGAAGAAAGAAAACAAATCAAGGATTGATTAGGGAGCCCCTGACTTGAAGCTCAGACACCCTACCTTGGCCTGCCCTGTACCCTCACCTTCCCTGTTCTCTCAGGCTACACAGAGGCCAATGTGCCACCTCTGCACTCTCCTTAAAGCGTTGTCCTCCTTAGAGCTCACTTTTTTAACTTTTTACTTTTTTTTTTTTTGGCAAGCACTCCACCACTGAGCCACACCTCCAGTTCTGCGACTCACTTCAAAGTCTCCAGGTTTCTCCTGTCCTTCCTGTGACCCTCCTCCTACCTCCTCTCAGGACTCCGCCCTGCTTTTTCCCCACCCCTCTTCCTGTTGCTGCCTTTTCTCCTCCTCCTACAGAGTTGCTGAGGCCCCATTGCTTTCCTTTCCCACTTTCCTTCCCTGGCAGCTTCTTCCCTGGCCACTCTCTGCCCTTCTCATCCCCACCAGTACTCTCCTTTTGGCTGGTTGTCAAACCAGGACAACCAACTCTTCAAAAGCCTCTGCTTCTGAGGTCCAGGTGTGCTACTTCTAACCCTCTTCCATCTGTCCCTCTCAGGCCTCAGCTGTGTCTGCCCCACCCTCCTCAGTGGTCTCCAGGACCTTCCCATTGCTCACAGGTCAGGGCCCTGGGTCAGGCAGGAAAAGCATCTGCATTGCTTCACAAGCCCAGGCACTCTGTGTCCCCACACAAATAACAATAAAAATTAATGGACATAGTGCAGTATGTTTCAGCAACACAGGAAATACTCAGAGTACTTAAGAATTAATAACTCATTCAAGCACCAGAACAGGTCTGAGGAAGCCATTTTCATGCATAAAACATGTACCTCAGAGGAAGGTAGGTTACCTCCAAGGATTGGGAAAGGTCTGGTTTAACTCTGGAAGCCTATCCCTAGAACCTCACCTTGCAGCTAAAGCAGGAGGCCAGGAGGTAACCTGCCAGCTATGAATTTCAAATCTAATTGGCTCCTGCTGAACAGAACCAGTCCCAGAAGATCCTCCAGGTCACTGGGCTCAGGATCTATAGATATTTGGGAAAAGTGGGGAAATGGTGACCTCCCCTCCCGGTCCACATGATGACTTCCTGGACTTGAGTGCCCAGTTTGATTTTGGGGCCTTTGGGAAAGTGGGGCATTGCTTCTAAGCACAACCCTATGCTGGGCTGTAGGCCTTAGTGTCACACAGTAGGCTCAGTTTGCTGCAAGGCCCAAGCTGTGCTATGTTCAGTCCACAAACCGACTGCTCCCTAGCTCTGTGTGAGGTGCTTATCTTAAAGCCAAGTTGCTGGGGATGGGGTGGGGACAAAGCTTCCCCACACTCAACAAGCTTATGGAGGCTGGGCATTGTGGGGTAAGAGGACAGCCTTCTCTCAAGGAAGTGCTGAGCAGAAGCCACAGAGGGAGGGCCTCTGTCCAGCAGGAGGGTCCACATGATGACTTCCTGGCCAGCAACCTCAGAACATGGTCTGCAGAGATGCAGAGAATGGGGAGAGCTATCTCAATGGCCCAGCACCTGAGGTTCCCGCTGTCATGGGAAAGTCCCTACCCAGATGTCAGTTGTGTCAGCACTGGCCCCCACTAGCTGAAAACCCTCAGGTCCACCAGGTGAGAAGGGAGGAGGAACAGTACTTCATGTGGGCCTTTGCTCCAGTGTCAGTGTGTTTGTGTCTCCAGGGCTACAAAGCTTTAGCTCATCAGCCCCATGATGGATCTTGGTAGAGGTGCTTCTATCTGATCGTGTCCAAAGGATCTCTGGGCTTCCAGGTCAGACTGGGCCACCTGCAGGCTGTCCTCATTTACCTGGGTGCTCTCCAAAGGCCCAGAGAACCACATACTTTTAGGGCATTTTGAACTTCTTACAAAGTCACAATTAACTGGCCTTTCCTCCTCAAAAGCTATGTTAAAACCAAATTTATTCTCAGAATGATTTAGGAGCCTCAGAAATGTCACATGTAGAACTGGGGCTATTGTGGAACCTTAGGAGAAAGAAAAAAAAAAGCTAAGGATACATTTAAGTGGAAACTGTTCTAGGGGTTCTGTGGGGTCCCAGCTCTGAAGAGGGCAGAGTAAAAGTTCCTTACAAAGGTTGGAGGTGATTATTTCTTCACTTGCCTCCCCCGCCCTCTGTGTTCTGTGTCCTGTATTTCAGCAGGGCTTTCAAAAGCATCACTTAATAACTACCAAAATAAATTACCACCTTGGACTGTAATTTTGTCACCTCAAGCAACTTTTAAATGTGTCTTTTAAAATATAAGTAAAAGCAATCTAAATAGAGTGTAAAGTGAATTTTTTTTTCTTCTGTTGCCAGAGGCAACCATAATGAAGTCTCCTTCCAGCAAGTGTCTTCAGATCTTTACACAAATGGCAATCATTTTACATGGTATCCCATGATTAGTTTTACTTAATATACTGACCTGTGGTACATTTGCATGGTCACACTGTCCATTGTGGGGCTGTGCCACCAGCAAATGAACCTTGCCCTCAGTAAAGGGGAGTATGTTTACAGACATAGGTAACAGAAAACCCAGTTCAGACTGGCCTGCACAATGAGGGGAGGGTTTTGGCTCCTGAAACTGGAAAGTCCAGAAGTGGGGTGAGTTTCAGGGCTGGTTTGATCCAGTGGCTCAGCAATGTCAACAGGATCTGGTTTCCTTTCTCTCTGCTCTGCCTTCCATGGTATCCCCATCTTCTGGGGCTGAGGGAGGAATCATTCCACCTGGGACAAGCTCCTGTGATGGATGCAACATGTGGTAAAGCCACTGGGGGAAGGGAGGCCCTCCTGCTTGTTCATTTCACTTAAACCACATGGCAGGATGTGGTTTAAGCAGAGTCCTGCAGGATGGGGGATGGATGCGAGATGCTAACAATCCCCCCACCCCTGCATTGCTGTGAGCGAACATTAGGGTAGCTTGCAGGGTTTTGTTCTAACAAGGGGTTGAAAAAAACGCATGTGTATTTGGTTAATGGCATTACTTCTTAGTAGGATTTATAACATGTTTAAGGGAATTCTCCAGAGGGTTGGCTTACATTGGGTTGGGATATGCCTCTTCTGCCAGGTCATTGCTGGTGTATGGGAAAGTGTCCTAAACCTCTCCTCCCTTTTTGGTAGGTAATAATCCCTCTCTTGGACCTTTCAAGGATTAAATGAGATGTGGTGGGTAAAACATTAGTTAGTATGGTAACCCCCAAATTATTGCTAATGTAGTTGCTAATGTGGTTTGGAGATTAAGGGGATTTGATCTGTAGCTTTTTGTCCCCACCTGCTGAGCTGCCTGGGTTACATGTCATACAGCTCAAGTTCTGAGCCCAGTGAAATGAGAAAGATGTAATATTCATTCCTCCGCCCTTTTGGGCACAAGGCTTCCGGGTTTGTAGGGAGCCTCAGGCATTTGGAGTTCAAGATCTGTTTGCTTTATGTCCCTTTGGGATATGGAGGTGAGAGGGGGCTGCTTCCTACCTGGAACATGGATCCTGCTAGAAACCTACACAACCAAAGAAGTTGCCCCTCAGGCCCCACAAAGCAGCAGGGGGCCCTCACCTGTCAGGGGTTCCAGGACTGCTATTGACTCTCAGGGGCACAGGAGGGATGGTCCACAGGGAGAAAGAGCTTGGAATGGGACAGAGGTGAGCTGGAATAGCAGGGCCTGGTGTGTAATGATGTGCTCTGAAAACTTCAGAACATCTCATTGGGTGGTTGGTGGACCCCATCTGGTCCCCTGCTCCTGGTAAGAACAAAGGCCTGGAGAAGTGCTAGGACCTGCTGGAGGAGGCCAAGTGCCCTCACCTGATCAGGTGTAGGAAGCCTGGGATCATGCTTGGCTCTTTAAGAGCCAGGGGACCTATGTGAGATAGGTGCACAGGCCCTGCTGTGCTTGCCAGGAAGCCCTGAGAAAAACTTGGTGTCTGAAAACTGTGGGAATGTCAGGAAAAGTCAGGTAGAGTGTGGCAGTTGTCACCACCAGGGCTGGTGTCTTCCTCTTCTCTCCCTAAGGTGGCCATTTCAGCCTTACTGTGCCTTTGCAAGGAGGTCAGGGTGACAGGTTTGCAGATCCTTTGGGCACAAACAGTCATTCAGCTATCAGCTATTGTGTTTACTTTTAGATTTGATTTTGTTTTGTTCTTTTTTTTTTTTCCTGAAATCAGTACAGATGTAGTTTAATATGGGAAGACTTGGAGTGGTCTCTGGGAGGTATTGAGTACCCTGTCTCTGAAGGACTGCAATACTTATCTGGGATAATATGGATAGGGCAGGCAGCATGTGAGTTTTGTGCTTCATGGACTGACAGCAACTCCTTCCATCTATTGAT